CTGCACTGGGAAGATAAGGGACTTGACAGTTCAAATCCCAGTAGGGCAGATTGTTTTGCTATAGGCAGAATAATTCAGTCTGCCATCCAAAGCAGTCGTTGAAGTCAGGGAGTGGCACTGTGTCCCCTCCTGTGCTGATCCCTGTTCCAGTGATATACAACCTTGGTAGGAGTATTTTCTTAAGGTCACAGATGAAGAGGTTTCACTATGGCAGTTCACAGGTTGTAGGCATAGGTGATAAATAAAATCAGAGAGAGATGTATACTAGGTGGGGTAGGATCTGGCCCTATGTGTACATCTCTATCTATGTAATAGAAAAAGGATTCTTCTTCCACTGATGCTGGACATACACAGATAGAAGTGAAAGCAGAATTAGTCTCTGAGTTAAGTGCATTTCTGGTGGAGAAATACAGAAATTTGTTCTGTTCTGGTTAATGTTGGTCTTGATAATAAAAGAGCTTACATTTCTTATTTGAACTTTCTGTTCCTTAAGACGAAAACAAAAAAAAGGATTTATCTGGTCCAATTCTGCATCGCTGATGTCATTAGGAGTGTTGTAAAGTGGTGGGATACCTTTAACCAGCACATGTGAGGGTGTATAGGAATCATTCATTTTTACTGAAAAAGACACAGCTAAGTTTTCTCCAGAGAGGTTTGCAGGATAACAGCACATGGGTCAGAATGGCAGTGCTAAAATGGTAATAGACAATCATAACCCATATAAAACCCATTTTCCTATCAAAATTGGACATGAAAACTAGGAAGCCAAGGGAATTCTCATTATGCTCCAAACATGCACATTGGTTGGGTTTTTCTTTCCTGATGGCTTAAAGCCCAGGCTCTTAAATGACAGCAGCTTAGTCTGCTTTCAATTCTAGTATTTTAAATCCGTACAGTGAACCTCAAAAAGGAATTACATTTATTAATTCTCTGCACTGGACCTGTGTAGAATTATCATCATCCAGGGGTGATGATAAATAGACTAATTTTCAGCTCCTGCAAAGCGCTTTTCATTAGTAGATCTCAAAACATTTTACAAGCAATACAAATTTTCACAATAGACATGCTGGGAAAAGAAGTTATTAGAACGGGTCTATTTTATTTCTTGAAACTGCATTTTGAAAGAAAATAGGGATTGTGACTTTTTGTTCCCCCATAAGAAATGTCTGCTTAATGTAGAAAGTTTTAGTTTTTTCACTGTAAAACTTAATCCACAGAATCCTCAAATATTTCACTTCTGAAATGCCACTGCAGTGCTCGCAGTGGGAAGTGTTATTCAGATACCTTATAGTCCTGTTCTCATCTCCGGACTTGGCTCGCCATCTAGCTTTTGTGACCCAGAATGCACTGCTGCTTTAAACCTGTCATGATGATCACCTGACCATAACGTGAGATTATGGTGCTCAGTCCCACCAGGAGGACCCCGGAAAGGGTAATGGGATCACGAGGCACCTTGGTGACATTTAAGATCCTGGCTATTTCAGGCATTAATGTACTGTATTTACTCGAATCTAAATTGACCCTGAATTTAAGACTTTCTCTCAATAATTAGATTCTATATATGGACAACTTATGCATTTGTTATAATTTTCTATGTATAGAATTTAATTACTGAAGGGTTGTCTTGAATTTGTCTGCCCTCCCCTTTTTCCCTCACCACACTTCTACAGTAAGGGAAATAGTGGCTTGGGGGGAGCAGGGGAGATCAGGTGGCCCCCTTGCTCTCTGCCACCCCCACTTCTTCCCCCTGCTCCCCACAGCCACCCCCAGCTCCCTGCAGCCTTTGCCCCCACCTTCCCCACGGTTTCTGCCTCTTACTGGCAGATGCTGCTTGGGTATGTTCCTTCCTAGAACACCGCATGTAGAAGTCCAGCCCTTGCTGCAGTGTTGGTGCTGCTGATTGGCCAGGTAGGTGATGCAGCACTGTTGGTAGTCCTGACTGTCTGGGCAGGGGACAGAGTTTCCAGGTGCTCCATGCCTGGGAGGGAATGCAGCCCAAGCCCAAGCTGACAGTAAGCATGGGGGAAAAGAGGCAGAGAGGGGGACAGGAGCTGAAGAGGGCAAGCAGAAGGGGAGGCATTTGCTGTAGGTCTGACTCTGGCTCTGACCTGGGCTCAGGGCCAAAGTCAGAGCTGCAGCAGCCCCTTCCCCCCTGCTCCACTTTGCATACAAATCAAAGACGAGGGGATTTTCCCTCATGATTTTTATTTAGCATATGCAGCTTCAGTATATTGTTTCAGCCATCTTAAGGTGATGCCATCACCAGTGTGAAGAGCCTGAAGGCCACCAGGTAGCATTGTAAACGGAAATGAGTCAACAGTGTGAACAATGGCTTGAACTTGGTTGAGAAGTGCCCAATAATGGCGTGCCCAGTAAAATCCAGGTTGAATGACTGTAGGGTCAGAGATGATGTGGTGATCGATTGGTGCGTGTGCTGATCGTTCTTCATGCCATTGAGTAAGTAAGGAAAAGTCAAAGGACTTTGAAAAGGTGGACTATGTTGGGTGTCTTGAGGGGTGGGTAGAATATGTCCCAGTGCATTTGCTACGTAGGAAGGATTATCATGGAATCTGGCTAGTGAGTTTGTTTAAGCATTTGTGCAGTGGACATGAGGGAGAGCAATGTTACTGAGGGCTGGTAACCATGGGAGTGGAGTTGGGCACAATGTGCCTGACACAAGACACATTGTAGCATGGGTGTCCACTAGTTTGCTGTGCGATGAACGAGCCCAGACAGAGGCACAGTATTCTGCAAATGAATAACACAATGTGAGAGTAGATGAATGTAGCATGGAGGCATTGGCACTCCAAGTGGAGCCTTCAAGTTTGGCAGGTAGGTTTTTCCTTGTTTTGACTTTTAAAGCATTTTTCTGAAGATGTGACATTTCCTTTTCAACCTGTATATTAATGACTTGCCTGCGACCAGCTCACAAAACTTTTTTTACACTAATGACAGTGCCTTTGCCACCCAAGCTCATGTTTTTTATGTGTGGAACTCACACTTGATGGTGACATGAGACCGATGTCAAAGTATTGCCTAAAATGGCACCTCAGTCTCAAAGAATGTCTCAAGTATGTTTCATCTGCATAATGCCAGTGCTAATTGTGAACTCACTATCACTTTATATGGTCAGCCTCTCAAGTTTTAAACCTACCTAGTTTATCTTGGAGTCACTCTCAACCAGGTGTTTCAAACCTGGCGCAAGGGTGATAGCTTCAAATTCCAGTAGGGTTCTGAGATGAAGAACTGGCAGCACAGTTTGATGTGTGTGTCTCTTGTTGCTAAGACTGTAAAACTTGCATGCTCTGGGTGGACATTGAAGAACCCATATAACTTTTTTTAACAGCGGGGTTTATCTAAATGTTCTTGATTAAAATACATCT